TGTCCTCTGAACGTTGGACATGTCCTCTGTTCAGACATGTCCTCTGTTCAGACATGTGTTTTTCACTGACTTGATGAGTGGTCTGTCCCACACAGTCCCCCCCACCATCCTGGACGTCTCCCGTCCCTCTGACCTGAGCGCCCCCCTGGGGGAGGAGCTGACCCTGGAGTGCAGGGCGACTGGAACGCCCCCACCTGGACTGAGCTGGCTGAAGGACGGGGTGTCTTTACAGGGGTCAGACAACAGACACATCACGTGAGTTACTGCAGTGGTACTGCAGTACGTACTGCAGTGGTAGTACAAGTACACAGAGGAGTAAGTAGCTTTAGCTCAGCGGCCACGTCTCTGTCTCTGATGCAGGAGACCTGGGTTTGAATCCAGGTACGGCAACGTTGTGTAGCGGTTAGCACGACTGAGTCATGGGTTCGATTCCCAGAGGAACCGCATGCTGTGACCGTTAGTCCTTTAAGTCCCTTTGGACAGAAGTGTTTGTCAAATACTTAGATGTACACATGTACATGTACACACTATGTATATACATGTATACAGTACATGTACACAGTATATGTTTATATGTACTGTATACAGTACATATGTACATGTATATACATGTATACAGTACATGTACACAGTATATGTTTATATGTACTGTATACAGTACATATATGCAGTATATGTACTGTATACAGTACATATACTGTATATATATGTACTGTATATGTGGTAGAGTTACTGCTCAGACATGAACTCACAGCTGTTTCTGAAGTTTGTGGAGGAGAAAAACTGTCCTCGACTGAAGGACGTGTGGACGGACAGACGGCGTCCATTACAGAACAGTCAGAACAGACAGAACAGACAGAACAGACAGAACAGTCAGAACAGTCAGAACAGACAGACCATACAGAACAGTCAGAACAGACAGAACAGACAGAACAGTCAGAACAGTCAGAACAGTCAGAACAGACAGAACAGACAGAACAGTCAGAACAGTCAGAACAGACAGACCATACAGAACAGTCAGAACAGACAGAACAGTCAGAACAGTCAGAACAGACAGAACAGACAGAACAGTCAGAACAGTCAGAACAGTCAGAACAGCTGCTCCACAGCTGCTCACTGGATTTTGGTTGTTTGTTTGTGTGTGTGTGTGTGTGTGTGTGTGAAAGCCGTGGGACGTCCACCACAGGAATGGACACATCACCACCGTTGGCCGACCCTGGACTCAACAACAACAACGTGTCTTTGTGTCTTTGTGTGTGTGTGCAGTGTGAGCCCAGACGGCAGCGCGCTGACGTTACTGAGACTGAGCCCCGAGGATTCTGGGACGTACACCTGTCTCGCAGTGAGCCCTGCTGGACAGGACAGCAGACCGTACACAGTCCTGGTCCTGGGTCAGTGAGAACCGCTCCTTCACGCTTTGACCGCTGTCTGTCTCAGCTCGTTTGACGTCTGACTGAACCTCTTCTTGGTCGTCACAGTCCCGCCGTCCATCTCCGGGGAGAGCGTCGACCCCAGGGAGGTGCGGGTCACGCAGGACACGGCCGTGACCTTGGAGTGCGAGGCCGCCGGGACCCCCGCGCCCCAGATCAGCTGGCTGAAGAACGGCGCCCCCCTGCTCCTCTCGCCCCGCGCTCGCCTGCTGTCCGGGCGACTCCGTCCTCCGGTCAGCTCAGGCGACCGCAGCTCGGTGGAACTGCGTGGGCGACGGCGGAATAACTGAGCTTTGTTTTTGTGAAAAAGGCTTTCCCCCGCGCAGCTGTCGGACTCTGGGCTCTACACATGTGTGGCTCGCCGCCCGGCCGGGCCGGGC